CATATTTCATTGGTATCGAATTCTACAAGAGCAGTAGAGGTTTAATGATGTATCAAAGAAGATATGCAGGAAAAATTCTCAAGAGGTTTGAGATGGAAGAATGCAACTCAACTTCGACACCTGCAGAACCAAGATTGCAACTGTCAAAAGATGCAGATGAAGATGATGTTGATCCAACCCAATACAGAAGACTTATTGGATCATTAAGATATCTTTGTCATACAAGGCCTGACTTAGCATACAGTGTAGGTATGGTAAGTAGATTCGTGCAGAAGCCAAAGGTATCACATCTAGCAGCAGTGAAGAGGATACTAAGGTATCTCAAAGGAACTTTCGATTATGGCATTTTGTTTCCTACAGCTGATAAAGGAAAAGAATGCAAGTTAGTGGGATACACTGATTCTAGTTGGTGTAGTGATGCTGAAGATTGAAAGTCAACAGCGGGATATGTATTTATGTTAGGTGGTGCACCAGTTGCTTGGAATTCAAGAAAGGAACCAGTAGTGGCATTATCATCACGTGAAGCAGAATACATAGCTGCTTCTCTTTGTGCATGTCAAGCAACTTGGATGGTAAACTTGGTCGAAGAGATAACAGGGAAAGATTATGGAGAAATTACCATGAAGATCGACAACATGTCAGCTATCAATCTGGAGAAGAACCCAATAGCACATGGTCGAAGTAAGCACATCGAAATGAGGTTCCATTATCTTCGAGAGCAGGTAGCAGATGGGAAGATGAATTTGGAACACTGCAGAACTGAGAATCAGATTGCAGACATCATGACGAAGGGAGTGCAAGTCGAAGTATTCAGAAGGCTAAAAGTCATGATGAATATAGATAGTTTAGACACAATGAATTAGGCTGTGTTAAATTGTAATTCATAGTGTTGAAAAGATTTAATTTGTTTTAGATTTAAATAGATTTGATTTAAGTCTAGAATAGATTAGATTTGATTTAGTAACAAAATAGATATTTTGGGCTTTGGGCTTAGGTAGTAAGCTCAGTTATAAATAGAGGGAGTAACCCTTATTTTTGTAAGCAAGTCAAGCAAGTCATTCACAGTATTTTGCAGTTGTAAAGTGAATAATAAAGTTTTCACAGTTTGTGAGCAGAGAGAAAATCTGCAGAAATTATTTTCTTGTCTTCTTTTCTTTGTTTATCTCATAATTAAATTGTCATTATGGTAGAAATTCATCATAGAATTTGGTGGATTTCCAACATTTGCATCATTTAACCGATTAGGAACTTGGTCTAATTGTTTAGCTAATGGTAAAATGCGTTAAATGCAAATTCTTTTTTGAGCCAAGAAAATTGTAAAATTTTGAAAATGGTAGAATTATAAAACTCACCAAAGGAATCTTTTTTATACACCTTAGTTGAATACTATCAATTTTGAGATTTATTTGAGTTATGAGTGCATCATATAGAAAGTTTATATTTGGGGATTGTGTGATTAGTACTAGGTTTCGTTGAAGATTATCCAGTATTAAAATCTTCATAGGTTCTTGGTCAGCCCGGTTAAAGTCAAGATAGGTTGAAGCTCAGTATGGTATTAAAAGCTTCATAGGTTCGAGATCAACCTGACTAAAACCTCATAAGTTTTTGGTTAGTCTGTTAAAATCAAAGTATTGAGCTTTTTTTTTTAAATTGAAGACTAACCGCTCAAAGGTCTGTGTTCGTGAAAAGAATACTAACAACTTCAATCCACTATTAGGAAGGAAGATTGATTGCTTCACTCTCAGAAGTATATTGAATAAAAGACTTAAACACCCACATCCATCATCTTGTATTATATGGTTGAAGATCAATTCTTCTCCCTTAACTCTTTAAATTATGCAATTTATTTTCTGCTATTTACTTTCTGATGCCTAAGTTTTCAAACTCTGTTTTTAATATGGAAAAAAAATTTAAAACCAAGTTTTTCCAAACCACAAAATTCACCACCCCTCTTATGTGCGAAGTCTCAAGTCCAACAAGAATGATGTTTTGATGTTGAAAAGTTGATTGAGAATGAGAGAATTTTTTCAGGAATTTTGCAATGGTTTCTTTCTTGTTTTAGCATGAAGAAGAAGATCATGCAAGACGGTGTTTTATCAACTTTTCCGCTATCAAAACCACATAAATAGTGCATGAATATTTCAGAGATGCATCTTCGAATACACTCAGACAATATACGGAGATGCATCTTCAAACCATATTTTTTAAAAACTAGGATGAAAATCAGAAAAGAGAAGATTAACGTAATTTTAGATGCGTCCGAAGATGTATCTCTGAATATACGAAGGACAACTTTAAATTTTCAAAGGTATAGTATACTCATATAAGAGTTGAAAAAAACATTTCTCTAATGATAAGCTCACTCTAATAGAGGATGACACTTTAATGGATTTTAAACATGATAAACCAAAGATTTAAAGAGTTTATGAAAAAAAAAGAGAATTGTTGAGGGCAGTTCCGTGCAAATCCACTTAAACAATTTGTTAGAAATTTCTATTTAATAGTAGGGAAGGCAAAGTTTGTGGAAAATATCACAGATTCATTTTATGTTTTGCACTAGTAAGGAATCCATGCCTTTGTACATGTCACGTAGTGTATTTACAAAATCATGAATAAATATGATATAGTGATCCATTCCATGTTTCTAATAAAAAATAGAAATAAAATTATAATTGGTATTATGTTGTAGAAAACAATTAAATTTTTTTGAAGTGATTTAAATAATGACAAAGAAGTGTAATGAATATTAATTGAAAAAAAGTGCATAAATGTAATAATTAAGAGTTAAAGGAAAATAGAATATTACTTATCATTCATAATACTAAAATTATATGATAAGAAAAACATAAACAATAACTTTCACATAAAATACGAATACTACTGACATAATCATGAAATAACTTATCCTAATACAATATTTAAACATCCAAATGGCATAGATAAAATATCCTAAACTCTCATGTATTACTTCCACAATTTATTCTTCTTTGCTTTCTGACCGTCTTAACGTACAATGTCTGTGATTCAAGATATCACCAATTTTATAGTTGAATTTTGCATATTCATACCAACCATTATCAAGATATATCTCTCTGGGTGAATTTTTACCTTTAAGAATTTCACAATCATGATACATCATTTCATCAATATCCATTAAAGCTAAAGATATTTAGTCACACGTGGACCCTTCTTAACAATCTCATCTGAAAAATGCTAAAATATTTGAATGTTCTGTAAGTTTATTCATGATCTGAATGAATAAAAAATCACAAACATCAAAAATAAAATAAAAATGCAAAATACTATTCAATAAGTTCAATGAATTATCACCAAGACATTTCTTCTGCCCTTTGTTGCTTTTGTGATTTCTTTCTCCCTAAACAAATCTGGAACAAATATTTGTATATTGAAATGTGAATTTTGTGCATTGTCATGATTATCATTTTCTTGATGCACAACAACATCCTCTAAATCCTCCTCTTTGGCATTGATTTCTGGGAACAAAACCTCTGCCTCAACGTGTTTTAGCGACTGTGCATGCTCAACCTACATGTCCATATCTGATATTATTTCCATCACTTTCTCCACTCTGTTGAATGAAAGATTGAAAGTTAGAAAATTGAAAGAAAAAAATCGTATGGAGTAAGAGTGTGTGTTGGAGAAATAGAAAAAAATCGAACAACAAAATTTAATTTCTAACTTTATTGAAGAGATCGGAGAAATGAGAGCTTCTATGGTGAAAAAATGATCTAGTGTTACGTGAGAGTCTGAAATTTGCATTCTTTGGATTACTCTAAGGGCAATCATCAAATCAACTAATTATAATTCCACAAAATCAACGAAAATCACCAAATTTTAAAAAAAAAATCTTAAAATCCAAAAATCACCATCTTCAATTAATTCACTACGATCGTTGGAACCGAAATTTCACCACGATTTCAAATATGTATTCAATATTGTAAAATAAGCCGTGAATTTGACAAATCAAAGCAAAAAAGTGACGTGAAACTCGAACGCAAACACACTCGACCCGGTTTGGTTATGAGGTTTTATGAAAAACTAATTATAGAATCGTGCTCGTGGTGAAATTCCGCTTCTAATGGAGTATTCATTTGCTTGAAATAGTTAAGAATCATAATTTTGTCATTTTTGTGTTCTTGAGTTCATGGGAGTTCTTGAATAGATTTTTCAAAAATCTCAATTAAATATGTTTTCATGTCGTTAATGATCGATCTAGAGATTTATAGATGTACAAGATGAACATGAAAAATCAAAATTTAAATGTAGAAGATGAAGATTAATGATTTTGATCTGAGGTACACCATATAATCCTACATGACATTGATTAAGTCAACATTGAAAAATTCTAAGACAACACCGCTTTATGATTGGCTAAATTTATGACTTCACTAAAAAAAAAATTAATTTGATAACTTCACCTTATAATTTTCCATTAATACCACCTGGTTGAAAAGTGTCTAAAAATGCACCGCTGCAGCTGCAAGGGATTTGGCAATATCACCAACATGAGTTTACAAAAGTGTACTTTTGAAATTTTTTCGGAAATGTATCTCTGAACTAAAGTTTAGAAAAAATATGAGGTATGATTCAGTTTGAACGTGTTTTAATTTGATCCAAGTGCGTCTGAAAATACATTTTTGAAATTTGAAGGGCATTTTCAGATTTTATAGGATGTTTTTCAATCACATCGGATGCATTAAGAGATTCCCGAATTTAATTTTTAAAAAATGGTCTTGTTAGGCTTCACAATTGCCAAACTAATAATCGCCCTCAATATTTACAATTCAGGCTTGCCTAGTTATCAATTGTATGAAAGAATAATGTGTTTCATGGAAGACTAATTGTTGAAAGGAAAAAAAACAATGAATGAATCATTTTCCTTTTCAGTCGATGCACAAATCATATAGATGAATTCTCAATCCAAAACCAATAGTTCATCATTAACTTGACAAGAGAGATGCATTAATTAGTAGTCTTTGTCACCACAGTGATACCACATCCTGAGGCAGTTCCTCGCAGAAACTAGGACTGGAAGCTTTGATCTCGATGCTCATAAATTGGCTATCCACCATGGCATTGCTCTCATTCACCTCTGCATAGAAAAGTGTATATAGTTCATATAAGGTAAAGGAACTAAATGAAGGAAAAATTGATAGTTATAATTGTTAACAAAAAAAAAAAGGATATAAACAACTACTTAGTATGTAATACAAACATATATATTAGTATATTGTAATCTCAAAAACTGATTCTCTAATCAAGGATTATAACTTCTTATTTCATCCACTTAGGAGTCAAGTTCCAAATAGTAACATATGCAGCAATGGTTATTAAAACTATAAGAACATTTTATCCACTCTGCAAATACTAACCTTTTCCGGAAGTCTTCTGATTTGGATATATGACACCATCTCGTACCGGTTTGCAAATACAAACACTTCCGCATTTCCAAGCTGCAGAAGCCACCATCAACCTCATTTTCAGATTGTTTAGCCACAACACAAGAGATTCTACCTTGGCTTCGCTGCTCTTCTTAACATGCCACTGTGCAACCAAAGTCCCTTGTTAACCTCCCTAGTCACACGACAGCCACGGTTTAGAAAGTCACACACATTCAAATCACGCTATCGACCTTCTTTCAAGCATGTTTCACCACAATTCAACTGCTGCTCCTATTTTACCCATTTTGCAAGTGTAAACTTTGTCTTGGCTTCAACCCTCTCCTTAACATGTCATCACGCAATTCAAATGCCTTGTTGAGCTCTCCATTAACACAGCAACCATATATTAGCAAGTTAAATGCAACCAAATCTGGCTCAACGCCTTTTTTTAACATAGTATCCCACAATTTAACTGCTGCTCCAACATCACCGCTTCTGCAATACTCATAAATTAGAGTTGAATAGGTTATACAATCATGGCAAATCCCATTTTCAGTCATTTCAGAAAGAATTTCGGTGGCTTCGATTAATCTACCCAATTTGCAGAAGCCCCTGATAAGAATGTTGTATGTTGCAGTGTTTGATAAATGCCCTTTGAGCATTGCTCGGTGAAGCTCTATAGCTTCCTTCATATTTCCCTCCTCCGTAAGACGGTCGAGAAAACAACCATATGAAACTGAATTAGGATGGATATCTGCAGCCAGCATTTTTTCAAAAAGGAGACCTGCTCTATCAGTTTCACCTGCTTTGCATAAGCCATTCATGAATGCCGTATAAGTCACAACATTAGGAACACATTTCTCAGCAACCATTAAATCCCAACATTCAGCGGCTTTCTTAAAAGAACCTTCTTTGCTGTATGCGTCAACCATACTTGTATATATTACACTATCGGGTCTCAATCCTTGACTGTACATCTTTTTTAAGAGACTAAATAGCATTTTAGTGTCTGGCTGCTTCAGAGCACCATCGATAAGTACGCCATGGCAAACCAGGTCCATGTTGATTCCTCGTTGAATCATCTCACAAGAAGCACTCAGTGCCTCCGTCAGTCTTCCTTCCCCGCAATAACCATGTAGAAGCGCACTATAGCACATCTCATTTAACTTGAGGCTTTTCTTGTGGAGATCATCAATAAAATCTTTAGCTTCGGAAACCCTACCAGTAGAACAAAGGCCGGTGATAAGAGGTCTGTATGTATAAGTATCCGGAACAAGGCCCTTACGGACCATGTCTTCCAGCATTTCAAAGGCTTTATCAATGTTATGAGCCTTACAATACCCTTCTATCATAACATTATATGTCACCTCAGTTGGCTTGATTTTCCTTTCCACCATTTCATTGAAAAGTTTGGATGCTTCAGCCATCTCATTTGTGCTGCAAAGACCATAAATAAGCGCAGTGAAAGTATAAACAGTTGGAGAAATTTTTTTCTCATTCATCTCACTATATAACTTAAATGCTTTTTGTACTTGTAGATCTTTGCAATATCCACTAATTAATGTTGCAAAGGTAGTAGCAGTTGGCTCTACCCCTTTATTGATCATCTCGGTATACAGAGACTCGGCAGCACTCAAATCCCCAAACTTGCATTGACCGTGTATCAAAGAGTTGTAGGGATATACAGATTCTTTTATACCATCTTCTATCATTCTATCAAAATAAGATGCTGCAACATCTAACCTCCCCCTTTTGCAAAAGGAATCAACCAGAATAGAGTATGTGACATCATTCAGCCGCAAGTTCATCAAACGCATATTATTATAAAGCAACTCTGCTTTATCCAGATTTCCACCTTTGCACAAAGAGTTTAATAACGAATTATACACAAACAAACTTGGCAAAAAACCGAATCTTGCTAACTTAACAACCAAATCATAAGCATTACCAATCTTTCCCTTCTTTCTCAACCCATCCACTAACCCAGATATAGCAGCCTCGGATGGAGTAAGCCCTAATTCAATCATTTCATTCATGAGGCAAATTCCATCCTCAAATTGTTGAACCCTACAAAATCCAAGCACTAGTGTACAATATGTAACCACATCTTCCTTCAAACCCTTTTCCCTCAACGATTTTCTAACCTCGACAGCTTCCAAAACCCGATGACCCTTACACAAACCATGAATTAAGACATTGTAAGTCACAATACTCAAATCAAACCCGTTAGATTCCATCCACGTAATCTTTTCCTTAGCTCTAAAAAAATCTTTCAATTCACACAAGCTCCGAATCACGGCAGAGCAAGTATAAGGATCAGGTTTTACACCAGCATTCACAGACTCATCAAAAAGTTCCCAAACCAATATAAATTTTCTAATTCTCAATAACCCATTCAAGAGTGTACTCAATGTTCTAACCTCAGGCAACAAAGTATTAGCAAGCATGAGTTTTAAAACAAACACAGCATCAAAAACTCTTGCGTTCTGCAAGTAACTCTGAACCAAAAAATCAAAACCCAAAGTGGAAGAAAACTCACACTGTTTATGAGATTCTAGAAACTTATCAAAAACAAATTTTGGGTCAGACCCACGAAGGAGAAGGGTTTGCAATAGAGAATTAGCAGGCCAAAAAAGCTTATTCTGAACAAGGGCATGAACTAAGATGGCAAAAGAGGTTGTGGAATGGTTCATGTTTTTGTGTAAACCGAGAAAGTTGAAGAACCTTAAAGCTAACTTGGAATCATGTAAGGTGTTGATTAAGACTCGTTCGACGTGATGGGGTTTCAATGTGGATGAAATTGAAGGGTCGTTGAATGCCACATTCCAACTTTGATTTCCTCGAACAATGTCGGAAATGAGTGATACGAAACGAGTGTCGTTTTCGTCGTTGAGTTTGGAGGTGCAGAAGTTTCTTGGAAGGTGAGGGTTTGAGAGTGAAAAGGAAAGGGGTGCGCGACGGAATTGGCGGAGCTTCATCGGAATTCATTCGCTACCGCCGTAACAACGCCTCACGTATGTGGGATGGGTTTCTGGGTCTTAGGTAAAGACACCAACTTTTTTTTAATCAAATAAACATATTTTGAATCTTAATTGTTTTTATTTTTACTTTTAAAGAATAAATTTAATTAAATTTATTAACTAGAATAATATCGATAGGGCTCTTTATTAAAATAAATAAATAATATCAATAGAGTTAATAAATCCTAATATGCTATTAGGTTGAATATATTGTCTCGGTTTTAATCAATAAAAATATTGATAGAAATAAAGGATAGAAAGGGATGGAATAAAATGAAATGTGTTTTGAATTGGGTTTTGACCTACCGTCGAGCAGGTCTAATTCAGCATCTTTATTATGACTTAATAACGTAAGACTCAAGCCAGTAACTGTTAAGAGATTTCCCATGTGTCCACTAAGGAGGTGTGACCAACGATTATCCGGAGCTACCATCATCACCATGTTCATCGAGAATAAAGGATTCATGACTTTTCTATTATTTTGGAGCAGTTGATCAGGGAGGAGACCACTTGCTGGTCTCCACTACTCACGTAAACCTGACAGTCTTCGTTATTGGGCCTAACTATCCACCCAGCGCGTAGATCTTGGCCCAATGCTGAGGGCTATAAATACCCTCACACACGAGAGGGTCAGATATTCAATATTTCTCACTTTTTGTATTTGCGCTTTGATATATCACTTTGGCATCGGAGTACCTTGCAGATACATCCCCCCATTCTCAGAAGTTTAACAACTTGCAGGTCATTGACGATCCATTATGACCAGGTACGATCAGTGGTGTCGTCCGTGGAAACCATGTTTCCCCGTCTTTTCCCAACACAAGACCAAAAAAACTTAAATTATAAACGTATCGATCATCATGGCCAGCAACGATAACGCCAACACTGATCCTTTCCACATCAACGACTTGCTCAACAACAACGGCTGCTGTCCATGAGCAAGGCGACCAAAGGGACGGGCAAACTGCCTCTTCCTCAACACATGGTTCGTTGCGTGTCCTCGACCAACAGGATAACAACCCCTCGACACACGAGGACATCCCCATACCTGCTAACGCCGACCCTGCCATTGCGGTCTTGGGTGAGGCTCTCAACCGAAAATCTCCTTCTCTTCTAACATAATCAACGCATCGCCAGGCTGGAGATGGGTCACCAATCGCGCTCACTATCGAGGAGGCACCGACGATCCAGATCCTACATCATGTCCCCATAACGGGGAGATGACCGCTCACACACTCCTCCGCGGAGACACCAACAGAGCGAATCTCGGAGTACACACTGCGACCGGATGGTCGTCGTCCTCGTCTGGAGAGGAACCAAGTTGTGCTCACCAAGAAGCGCGGGAAAACCCTTCCCCTTAAAGAGTGGTGTTCTCCAGTTTCCAAGAGGACCAAAGTGGTTGGGAATTTTGACAAGTCGAAGCATCGGTTGGAAGACACCTCTCGTTGTTACAAAGTTCATCACTACTACTCTTCACCTTCCAGATCACCCATTTGTAGCGACGAAGACCACCCTCGTGGTCCGCTGCACTGCGTGATCATGAGGGCCTAACTCCCCCATGGAATGGAAAAACTGTCGGCTCTCAACGCCTATGCTGGCACGACAAACTCGGACGACCACATCGAGGACATTAAAGCTTCACTCGAGTACCACAACATCGGGGTCGCCATCAGGTGCAGACTCTTCCTGACGACCCTCGGGAAGGGCGCCGTGGAATGGCACGAGAAACTCTCCCCAGAGTCCATAAACTCTTGGAGAGAACTCAAGGCGCAGTTTACAAGGCACTTCACCGTCTCCCGACGACACCCCAAGTCAGAGGTGACACTGGAAGCAATCATACAGGGTTCTGACGAACCCTTGTGTGAGTACATCGAGCGCTTCAATCGCGAAGCCATCCAGGTCCCCGTGACCGAACACATGAAGAGATACTTGCTTGAGCGAGGCTTGCACCCGGATAGTGATTTCTGGAAAGCTGTTAGGATCGAAGCTCGCGCATCTCTAGACGAGCTCCTTCTTAAAGCACGTGCCTACATCCAGTACGAGGAGAAAGATGTCGCTAACAACGCCTGAGTCACGA